TTCTCTGGTCCCATTCTTCTCTGGTCCCATTCTTCTCTGGTCCCCTTTTTCTCTGGTCCCATTCTTCTCTGGTCCCATTCTTCTCTGGTTCCCTTCTCTTCGCAGATATGGACAGCCTGGGCAGCAGTGCAGCTGGAGGTCAGCTGATCAGGAGGCCATCCACCCAATCACCACTCAACTCTGAAAAGGCAAGAAGTGACATTGTGATGGCAGGTCAGTAACTCATCACTAGAGTACTGGATTTATTGGTTTCTACATGCAATTAAACTGGTGAATCTGACACAGTTGCCTTATGAAAAACCACTTCTGTTAACAGATAAACTCCTCTACTCCCTGTTCTTCCCTGGACTACCTAACTCAAATTAAAGTCGCTGATGGTAACTTAGAGTTCTGCTCTGCAACGATTCAGCTGCTGTCAGCCGTCCTAACTGGAGCTGTCCGACCCTGAGACTGATGCTGAACATTTTTTGTTTAAGATGTAAAACTATTGAGCTTAATGTACATTCATCACAGAAAGATCACAGAAACGTGTAGCATGGTCAGGTGTTCCAGTTTTTCCAATGCTGCACAGATGAACAAGCCCACAGCTGATGGGTAAGTTCAGGTACAGCTGGTGCTACAAGCAGCAACAGAAAATCTAAACAAATTTGATATGGTAAATTCAGAACTCAGCCCTATCATCCTCATAGTAAACCTGTTTTATCTAATCGGTGCGGGATTGGAAAATCAAGCGTCCTTGAATAAATAAAGCTTGTCAAAATAAAAATGATTTATTAATGAATCATGTTTGTGGAAAGAAATTGGTTTTTATGACCTTTAACAGTGATTTAAATTAACACGCAAACATGGTTCAGTATTTTGAAATACTGACAGTGATTCAGTTGTTCTCTCTTGGTATTGCTGAGAGAGAAAAGAAAGAGGCTGAAGACGAGGTCCGAGGTGACAGAAATGGAGAAACTAGCTGAGATGTGCAGAAAGAGGGCACATGTAAAAGAATGAGTCGTTGATCACCTGCGTTGTGTGAAGCCCCGTGCACACCAGAGCAACTGCTGCTGAGCCGGTCCTGATGGGATCGTTGTTAGCATCACTTCTGCTGGATTTGTTAACACTTCAATGCATCAAAATAAAATCAGTGCTGCGACATTTATTTCTTGTTATACGTACGATCGTAAATTTTACAATTTGCATTTTTTTAGGAGCCGCGTTCTCTCGCTTCATCCTCACGAGTGTGTGGAAGAACCTGATTGATGTGCTGTCCATGCCACTGACGGGCCACATGGCGGGCAGCTCCAAGAGCCTGGCCTTCATCCTGGGGGCAGAGGGGCTCAAAGAGCAAAGCCAGAGGGAGAGGGACACCATCTGTCTGAGTTTAGATGGCCTGCGTAAAGCTGCTGCACTCAGCTGTGCTTTGGGTGGGTGAAACTTTCTCGTTTCTTGTGGTGAGTTCCTTGTCTGCACACATCTCAAGAATGTTTTTGTTTACAGAAATGCTAAACCCTTCAGGTTTGTTGGCTGCCCCTTGGTCATTCAAAGCTTCAGTGTCTCCCCACATTTTCCTTAGGATCAGTCTAAAACTGCCTAGACCACGTCATGACCTAATGTACATCTTTAGCCACTCCTGTTGTTGCCTTGCTGGTATGTTTTGTGTAATTAGACAGTTTTCACAAAATAGTTCTGTTAAATGACTGCAAATGTATTTTCCACATTACCTATAAGTCTCACTTTTTTCCATAGTTTGGCCAGTCCTGCAACTTAGTTTGAAGCAACTGATATATGTTTTTTCCCTATTCATGATGTAAATTTTGACTGACACGTTAAATGATCATTAAAACTGACATGAACCAAAGAGTAAATATTACCCTTTGCAGCCATGAGAGGACCCTCTAGGCTTTTGACTACTACAGTATACTGTATGTTGATCCTCTACCATTAACACCCCCCCCCCCCACACACACACACACACACAAACATTCACTTAGAAAACTGAGAAAAACTTAACACAAGTAAAACACCCCCAAAATGAGGAGTTGTTCAGAAGCAACACCAAGGATGAAGAATTCAATGAAAACTCTGAAAAAAAAGAATTAAAAAAAAAAAATTCAATTCAAAACAAAGACACTGACATCGAACATGAGGACATTTCAATCTGTCACACACTGCCTAGCAAATCAGATAAAGCCAAACCATCCATAGTCATCAAGTTCATTAGCAGGAAATCAAGAAACAAGGTAATAATGCAAGCAAAAAAACTGAAGGGAACAAATGTTTACATAAATGAACATCTAACTAAAAAAAATGGAAATATTGCACGTGAAGCAAGGTTGTTGAAAAAACAGAAAAAAATAGCATCAACTTGGACAAGAAATGGAAACATTTGGATCAAAATAGAGGAAGGATCTCAGGCTAAAATAACAAAAGACCTGAAATATCTGGAAAACTAAAATGAGCTCAGGAAAAGACAGATGATAAATCATTGACATAACTTCACTAACAAGAAATTAACAAAATATAAAATAAACAAATACATTAAAACATGGCAACATACGAAGACTTAGAGTTTAAAATATACAATGTTCAAGATGTGATTGATACAAATTTTTTCCCTGCAATAAAAGACTGTGAATATTACAATGAAGAACAGTTTGACATCAATATAACAAATGGAGGTCTCTATTATTCACTTTAACAGTAGAAGTTTAAATGCAAATATATCCAAAATAACAAATTATTTAAAACATCTAAACAGAACCTTTTCAATAATAGCACTGTCAGAGACGTGGCTCAACGATGACAACACAACTAATGTTCACATGGAAGGGTATGAATTATATCATGTGAACAGAAGCAACAAAAGAGGTGGTGGAGTGGCTCTGTTTGTTAAAAATGAAATAAAATGTAAGTTAATTAATGAAATGTCAATAATTGTTGATAATATAATGGAAATAATAACAATATAAATAATAAACAAGAATATCCTGATGCATGCTCAATAATCCAGGTAGAAAAATCTAAAAAAGTTAAATCTGGTCCTCTGGACATTCAAAAAAACCCAAAACAAAGCAAAACAACAAAAAATGTAGAAACGTTTTGTCTCTCGTCCGAGAGACTTCTTCAGTCTGAGGTGCTGTTTTCAGCTCAGTCTCTTAAATAGCACCTTCTCAGAGTGGATCAACCAGTTTTGCTGCTGACAACCAAAACCAGCTGATCACATGCTCAAGAAGGACCATCAGCCTAACAATGGATCATTAGCACACTGATGGCTGTTTACTACTCACAGAGGGCTGAGTGATACTAGCAATCACAGCATTGTAAGAGGGGGACAGTTGAACACGTAGGCCTCCACCCCTGTTTAATGATGGACGGTTTCAAAAGAGAGCCTTGACGTCCTTTTCAGGGACACCACCAAGTCATTGGTTCAGGTATGTTGACGACACCTGGGTTAAAATTAAATCTCAGGAAGTCCAACATTTTACTGACCACATCAACTCTGTGGATAAATACATCAAGTTCACACAAGAAGATGAAAAAAATGGCAAATTGGCTTTCTTGGACTGTGAGGTCTCAGTCTCTGATAGAGGACATTTGCAAACTGAGGTGTACCACAAACCCACCCACACAGACCAGTATTTGCAGTTTGACTCCCATCACCCTTTGGAGCACAAGTTAGGAGTCATCAGGACTCTGTATCACAGAGCAGACAGCGTCCCCACTAGCTCAGGAGCCAGGCAGAAGGAGAAATCCCACACAAAACAGGCTCTAGAGCAATGTGGATATCCTAACTGGGCCTTCCTAAAAGCAGAGAAGAAACCCAAACAGGACTCCAGTCAGCCATCAGGTGAAAAGGAGGAACTCAGACCCAGACCAGTGGTCATTCCATATGTTGAGGGAGTATCAGAGAAACTGAGACGTTTATTTTCTAAACATAATGTCCCAGTGGCTTTTAAACCCCAAAATACATTACGGCAAAGACTGGTTCATCCCAAAGATCCAGTCCCCCGGCACAAACAGAGTAATATTGTGTATGCTGTTCAGTGTCAGGAGGGCTGTGATCAGTCTTACATCGGGGAAACTAAACAGCCACTGGCCAAAAGGATGGCCCAGCACAGAAGATCAACATCATCAGGCCAGGACTCTGCGGTCTACACTCATCTCCAGGCCAGCGGTCACTCTTTCAAGGATGAAGATGTTCACATCCTGGACAGAGAGGAACGATGGTTTGAGAGAGGAGTAAAGGAGGCCGTCTTTGTGAAAAGAAACCGTCCATCATTAAACAGGGGTGGAGGCCTACGTGTTCAATTGTCCCCCTCTTACAATGCTGTGATTGCTAGTATCACTCAGCCCTCTGTGAGTAGTAAACAGCCATCAGTGTGCTAATGATCCATTGTTAGGCTGATGGTCCTTCTTGAGCATGTGATCAGCTGGTTTTGGTTGTCAGCAGCAAAACTGGTTGATCCACTCTGAGAAGGTGCTATTTAAGAGACTGAGCTGAATACAGCACCTCAGACTGAAGAAGTCTCTCGGACGAGAGACGAAACGTTTCTACATTTTTTGTTGTTTTGCTTTGTTTTTGGTTTTTTTGAATGTCCAGAGGACCAGATTTAACTTTTTTAGAATAAACAAGAATGATAAAAGCATATTAATAAGTTGTGTATATCGATCTCCAGGATCAAATATAGAAATATTCACTGATAAAATCGTACAACTATTGGACAAGAGTTTTAATAAAAGCATTTTTTTTCTGTAGAGACTTTAATATTGACCTGGGAAATAAAACAGATTCAAATAACATCAGTACATTTACAAATTCATTGTATAGTTTAAATCTTTATCCGTTAATATCAAAACCAACAAGAATTACAACTCATAGTGCTACAATAATCAATAATATTTTCACAAATGTAACAAATGGGGATGTGATGGGAGGTATTTTAATGAGTGATTTGAGTGATCATTTACCAGTTTTCATGATTTATAAAAATTATCAAAGCATTACAAAAGAAATTACAATTAAGAAAAAAAAACAATAAACATCAAAAAAAGCAATGGACAAATTAAAAGATGATTTACATAAACAAAGCTGGAAAGACGTGTATGTTGATGATGTGAACAGATCATATGATGAGTTTATGAATATTTTAGGAGCTCTGTATGAAAAGATTTGTGTGCAAAACAATTGTACAAAGAGAAATGTTGTTGACCAACCATGGATGACGAAAGGGTTGAGAAATGCTTGTAAAAAAAAAAGAATTATTTGTACACATGTTTCTTGAAATTGAGAACACAAGAGGCTGAAGAGAAATATAAGAAGTATAAAAATAAATTAGTAGCGATTATAAGTAAACGAAGGAATATTAGAGTAATTTATTAAATAAAAGTAATGGTGATATGAAAGCTACATGGCGAGTAATAAATAGTGTTCTGAAAAGTCATAAAGCAAAAACTGGTATTTCACAATATTTTTTGAAGGTTCACGATGAAATCCATGATGAAAATGAAATTGTAAATGGATTTAATCATCATTTTGTGAACGTTGGATCAAGACTTGCAGCTAAAATACCAAAAGTAGACAATAATGTGAACCATTCAGTTATAAGTTGTGACAACAGTATTTTTCTTAATGGAACTGACAAAGAAGAAATAATGAATGTTGTAAAAAAATCTTACAGATAAGAGATCAAAAGACTGGGTGGACATGGATATGATGTTTGTAAAGGACATAATGAGTTATGTTATCGAGCCGTTTACATATATTTGTAATTTATCATTTTCAAAAGGAATATTTCCAGACAATATGAAAGTAGCTAAGGTAGTTCCTCTCTTTAAAAATGGTGATAAATGTGTGTTCAATAATTATAGACCAATATCCTTATTACCACA